TGCGCGGCAGCCGCAACGCGACGCTGCCGTCCGACCCGACCTGCCACGCACGCGATCACGCGGGCTACGCCGGCGACAGGGCCGTCGTCTGGGGCGCAAACCTGCGGCTCTCCAGCGCGGCCGAGTGCTGCAGGGCGTGCCAGGCGCACGCGGCGGCCTGCGGGAGGGGCAACGCGGGTGCCGAGTGGTGGGGTCGCGCGTGCGGCCGTGCTCCCGGCTGCAACCTGTGGTCCTTTTGCCCCGAGGAGCAGTGCTTTGCATTTGACATCCACGTGCACCGCCGGGGCGAGTGCTGGCTCAAGCAGCAGGCCGAGGCGCCCACCCGTCCAAAGGATCCGTTCGAGGGTCACGCAGCCTTCCCGCCAGAGATGCGCGCCGCGCCGCGTCGGAGCTGGCCGTTTGCTGTGTCGTTGGCGGTGTGGCCCGGCCCGATGCCGGAGCGGGTGCCGTGGATCTCCGGCGTGCTCGCGCCGGCTGGCGAGGTCGTGGTCTCGGGCCGACCGAACGACAGGTGGCGCGAGCGCTGGTGCACGCGGCACGGGCCGTGCACCGAGGTTGCCGACGCGGCTGACCCGTCGCTTGACGGCAGGATCGGAGTCGACGCCGATAACCTGGCGCCGTGATAGAAGCTGCGCTCCAGTCCCGTCGCCCGTCAACGAGGACCCGCTAACCAGATGCCTCTCCTTCTCCAGATACCTCGCTCTGTTCAGCGCTTCAGCCCCGGGGTCACAGTAGATGGACAGAAATCGGCAAGAGAGGAGTATTAGCGAGAAGATAAAAAGGGTGGTCGCTAATACTAGAGAACTTTTCTACAATAATCAATATCCTGTGTGACAGCAAGCCAACGCGGAGCCGGAGGCGGCCCGATCCGCCAAAAAGCCCGCGTGGGACACAGCAAGCAAAACAGTAAACTCTAAAAACACTGACGACACGGAGCAGTCGCGCAGGGCGAGACGAGGGAGGGAGCAGGACGTTGCGGAGATCAGCAGGAGGATGTACGAAGAGATTAGGAGCAGCAGGGACCCGAGGGACCATGTGGAAGACGGCTAGTGCTAGTCCCGGTATAGTCCCCCATCGAAAGGACGACCCCCCGGCTAGTCGCTGACCACACCCACAAAGAACCCTGCACAAAGATCGCAAGGGCGGCCGGGGACCTGTTCCTTTTTACCCATCTCACAGAAGAGGTGTGTCCGTTTTTATTTAGTTTTGCTGAGAGACGCCCACGCGTGAACCCAAAGGCAGCGCGTCAAATGCACCTCCTCATCATTCTCAATGTTAAAATAAAATATTCTTAGCTTCAAGCCCCCCTCCGAGACTAGGGACAGAACCCAGAGATACATACGTCAAAGGGACTGCGCCTCGCCCCCACTTGCCCTGACTGCACAGGATAGCGTGCCCCGAAGACGGCGACACATAGTGGGGGACACTGCGCAAGGAGGGGGTGCGAAGGCTCATTGGAGTGCTAGGTGGGACCATGAGGGGGGGTGGGCGGGGTCCTGTGGGGGTGAAATGTTGCGCGGCGAATTCGAACCTACCCCCTCGCCGCGCCGATCCTCACGCGGAGGGTAAAACCCTGTGGGACAAAACCCCCCCGCGGTCGGCAGTCTTCAGAGTGGACCCCCCCCTCCCCAGCCTCCCCTGTGCATCTCGCACCCCCCCCCGCTCCCCATCGGTGACTCGCGAAGGACACGGACACTCGGGGTGAGGGGGGGTCCCCCCGGAGGGGGCTCTGGGGCATTTTTGGGTTGATCGCTCGTGCCGATCTCGGGTCGATCTCGGGTCGATCTCGGGTCGATCTCGGGTCGATCTCGGGTCGATCTCGGGTCGATCTCGGGTCGATCTCGGGTCTCGGGTCGGTCTTGGGTCGGTCTCGGAGTGGTCTAGAAAAGAAAAAATGGGGCGAGATGAGGCGAGATGAGGCGAGGTGAGGCGAGATGAGGCGAGATGAGGCGAGATGAGGCGAGATGAGGCGAGATGAGGCGAGGTGAGGCGAGATGAGGCGAGGTGAGGCGAGATGAGGCGAGGTGAGGCGAGATGAGGCGAGGTGAGGCGAGGTGAGGCGAGGTGAGGCGAGGTGAGGCGAGGTGTGGGAGGCGAGATGAGGCGAGGTGAGAGAGGCGAGATGAGGCGAGGTGAGGCGAGATGAGGCGAGGTGAGGCGAGATGAAGCGAGGTGAGGCGAGATGAAGCGAGGTGAGGCGAGATGAGGCGAGATGTGGCGAGACTAGGAGGCGAGATGAAGCGGGATGTTGTATGGCTGCTT